GGTTAAAAATCAGCTTTTTTAGTAAGAGGGGTAAAAGGAAGCTATAAGGGATATAAGAAAGGTGCCTTTTATAGTAGCCGGAAGGTATAGGAATTCTATTCCTCCTAGGCTTATAACTCTTATATAGAGAGATATAAGAAGTATATATAAAATATATAAAGGTAAAAGTAAAAGTAAGGGATCGGATAGGTAGGGCAGAGATATTTAATTCTTATAGGGGCAGTAATTATAGTAAGGGAGTAATTATTATATTGCCTTAATTCTCCTTCTTTCCTCTATCTAACGCCCCTCTTTATACCTATCTAGTATCTTAATTAATAAAGAAGATCCTACTTAAAGAAGCTACTAATATCTTCTTAACTACCGAGCTTTTTACTAGTTTTTCCCCTCTATTCTAGCCGTTACCGGTATATCCGTCTTATCTCTTACTACCTCTATAGGAAGCTATCGCTACTTCTACTTCCCCTCTTACCCCTACCCTCCTCTCTATACCTCCTTTTAGCTCCTTCCTTAAAACCTATTTTTTAGCTTCCTTAGTCCCTCTTACTATAGGATATCTCCGAGAACTACGAAATTAGGCTACGCTTCGTAATAATAGTACTATTTCTATTCTTAGTTCTTTTAAGGGTAAAAGTAATATTAGTATATTACCTCTTACTAGTAGTAGTATCTTAATATCGTTAAGCGACTTATATAAGCTCTTCTTATTAGTAAGTATAAATAGGTATTAAATAAAGGTTAATTTAGTCTTAAAGTTATAGCTTTAGCTTAGCGAAAAATATAAGAATACGCGGCTTTTTAATAGGCATTTAAAATATCTCTTTAAGGAGTTAAAGTATAAGCTAAACTCTAAGGGGGACTAGCCTTCTTACTAATAAGCCTCCTTTAATTATATCGCTTAAAGTATACTTAATCTATACTATATTTAGTCCGGTTAATTAGCGTCTATTCTTTAAGGTATTAGCGCTATCTTACTTTATAGTTGCTATATATATAATTTACTATATAAAGGATCTTTATTTCGTTATAATAAAAACGTTTAAGCGCTACCTTAAAGGCGTCCTTTAAATCGTAAGTTTAGTCTAAACGTTTCTATACGTTAGTAGGTTAAATAATTAAGCGATATTTTTAATCTTAACCTTACTACCGCGATTACTATCTAAGTTAAGGGAGTAAGAACGTCGACGCTTCCTTAAATAAGTAGGGATAGTACTAGAACGTTTAATAATTTCCTCTTTTAACTATATAACGCGATCTTATAAGCGTTTTATCTCCTTTAGCTCCTTAATACGCGCTTATAAAGCTATAAGCTTTTCCTTATAAGTCGGTTATCTTACGCCTATAGGTAGCGATATCTTCGATATAATTATAACGCTATCTATAATAAGGGTCTATTCTAAGGATATATCTTCCTATTCTTTATCTCTTAAGTAGATACTTAATATATATAATAAAGAGGCCTTAACTAGTTAACTACTATATCGCGCTATAAGAGCGTTATATAGTCTTCTTTAAGTAGCTATCTCTATTAAGTAACTAAAAAAGAAAGCTTTAGAAATTATAAGGGAATATATATTATAGTATAATTAGTTAGGTAGTAGAGATAGCTAGAGGTACTATACTATATATATTATATTCTCTTATTATAAGACTAAAGCTTATTAAAAGAGGGATTTTTCCTCTTTAGTTAAAGTAGTAAGTTATTTATAACTCGCGAGCGGAGTATATACGATTCCCTACTAATACCCTACCGATATATTAGTAATACGTACCTAAGTGCTTTATTAGCCCGTACCTCCTAGTAGCGCTCTTATATAGCGCTGCGCCTTAATAAGCTATACTACCCTACTTATTTTATATACTCCCTATTTATATATATATACTCTCTAGTTAGGGCCTTTATATAATAAAACTTTTTGCACTTATAATAAGTATCCTGCCCTAGTAATTTTTATATAAAATGTCTAACTACTTAGCTCCCTCTCCGCTAATTAGACTAGCTTATAAGTTAGCGAGGTTAATACCGCGGATACAGCGAATAATCCTTTACACTGAACGTATATCTCGATAAGCGTAGTAGTAACATTATAATCCCCCTGTACGAATGGACACTCGGGCTTTAGCCAGGGATTCCGAAGGACTAAAATATTCCGCTCTAGAACGAGTCACGTAGGCATAGAGGTTTCTAATATAAACGAAATTCAGTGGATACGTAGAGGTAATATAAGCTCGAATATTAAGGTTTCTTATTTAAATACCCTTAGTATAATTGTTATATATTCTAAGAGATATAATATTCTATTTATATAACGCTACTGCCGTTAATTACCCGGTGACCTCTCCGGTTTCCGACTACATTTATATATCGTGTATAAGTAACAGGCAGCCTATAAAAGCTCCTCCGAATATATATAGCTTTACTTCCTCCCTGCTAAGTTATCACGTCAATATTTTCTTTAAGATTATTTATAGGTTACTCTCTTTGTGCACGACCTAACTTTGTCTAATATCATCTCTATATTAGGTCAAGGTAGCCTTTTGTTCTTGCTCACTACCCCTAAGTGCTTTTTATCTTTCAAATTACCTTTATCATCAACATGAAGGCTATAATAGCAATAATCGTGGTCCTCGCCGGAGCGGTTCTGGCGGCGCCACTCGAATCTCGACAAACTGGAATGGTGGTAAGTCAAAGAGTTGAATAATCATAACCTCTGTGATATGCTGATACGACTGGCAAATAAAGGTTGTACGTAGCTTCCTGCAATTGATGAGTACTGCGATTCTTAGCGGCATGTTAATGGGACTGGTGAAAACAGATAGTAAGTGGCTTTCTTGACTAACCTAAATCTGGATTGTATTTCTTAACGGCATGCTAATGAATTTGGCAAACGAAGGTTGTATGTAGTTTTCCCTGCTGAGCCAGGAATTATAATTGCGAGCGGCATACTAATGTAATTCGGTACCAACTATAGAGGGTAAGTAACATCCCCTGACTGACTAGGATTGTCATTGGTGCAGCATGCTGACAACTGTGGACTATAGAAGGTATGTGGTTTCCTTGAACTAGCAATGAGTGTGTTTGCTGATGACAACTGTAGCCGGTAAGTGTCTTCCCCTGTTCATAAGGATTATGATTGCTGATAGCGGCCGTAGACTATAACTTAAGTAGCTTCCTCCAATTAACGAGGGTTGTGGTTGCTGACGGAACGCTGATACGACTGTTAACTATAGCTTGTAAGTGGCTTCCCCTTATTCAAGAATACCGGTATGCTAACACAGCTAACGATTATAGACGGTAAGTGGCTTTCCCTGATTTAACAAGGATTGTTGCTAGCGACATGCTCAAGCTACTGGCGACTATAGCTTGTAAGTATATTTACTTAGTTGAGGAAGAAGACTTTAATTGCTGGCAGCACAACTAACGCAACCGATAGCATGGGGACTAGACCCTTTTTGGGGGGGCCTGATGCGGCGGCCGACGGTGATATTACTTGGCCGGCCGCCAGGAGAGAGCTTTCTGTCGTTGCATGGAGTTCTCCACTGGAGTTTAAGCTCGGCCGACTGTTAGCGGGTTCCTGTCTTCGAAATATATCTAGCCAGGTCAATATAGGTCACAACTATATCAGCGCTGTCCCCTCCAAGCCTTGACGGAGACGGCTTTTCGTTGCACCGGTAGGATCAACTATTGCGTCATGACAATAAATTTATGGTAACAAAGCACTAGCGCGACGTAGGACGGCAGGTCAGCGTCCTTAAAGCTGCGCTCCATGATTTGCGCAGTGCTTCCTCGGTGGAGAGGCTAGAGAATAGACATCTACGTTACATTTGCGGACGCCTGTAAATGATCGTGTGTATATGCGGGTATGCTATTGCTGTCTATACGATACCTTACTGACCGCGGTTAAATGCTCCTATTTTGCGGCGTGGAAGTAGCGACGGCGCGCTACTTCAGGTCTGCACTCGAACGTGCTACATTGAATTGACGCGTTGATCCCTGGGATTACCCTTGAATACCTTTATATAGACCTTACGTACCCGACAGCCCTCTTATGCATGCTGATTCTGGCTGGTCAACTCGTCAACCTTGCTCTGGAGTCATGGTGTCTACCGCGGTTTCGAGGTCCCCGTCTTGCAAGCCCGATACCAGCTCATGCTTGAAGGCTCTCTTTCGCCGCGGAGGCTCGCAGACTGTAGCGAACTTCCGGTTCTGGCTGATCAACTCGTCTATTTTGCGCTATATGGCGGCTCGTTCGCCTCCGCCATTGCTATACTTTTGCTCGGTGTCGAACCGTCAGGATAACAAAGCTACACTCGTCTGGCTGTCAATGATCTTGGCTGAGTTCCGAGTCGAAGAAAGAAGGTGGCAAGGTCTGAAAACTCTGGTAAGGGCTGGCCTGTAGGACCGAGGTGACCGAACTAGCCTTGCTGTCTTGAGCGGCCTCCGTTCCAGGCTCAGGACGAGAGACAATCAGATAATGCAAGGCTGAGTCTTTCAAGGATATATATATGTATTCCGGATGGATCCCGGGGGCCCTGCTCGAGCTGGGAACAGCGACGTAAGCCGCTCGAGTCATACTAAGACTCGCAGAGTCCAAAGTCGTAGACGCCGGCGCTGAAGTCGTAACTGTACATCAACCGCGTTTGTTGCCGAGGACGACAATGGTTGGATGCAGGAAGCAAGCGACTCTACTATTGGAATTTCGGTGATGTCAAAGCCGCTTTGCTACATGCAAGGTCAGGGTGGAGGGAGCGCCGCGGACTGTCCATGAGCTGACGGCGACCCGAGATTGTGGTCAAGTTCATCTTGCGTTAGGGTCCATGGCAACCGGCCAAAGAGGGCGCGGATTTGGAGCGAAGATGGTGCCAAGTTCTCCTGTCCGCCCAGAGTAAACAGCGGTTGTGGGTCCTCGTCTGCGCCAGATGACTCGACAGGCGCTTAAAAACGGCATCAAGTCAACGCCAGACTTCATGCACTTCGATTGCAGTTGGCTAAGTCGATGTCAAATGTTGAAGTGATGCTTTCGCAGCTCTTCCGCTTCACACCAAAACCTGGTGATGGAGGCGGAGGCTTCTTGGAATAGCTTCTGCGAGGATCCTGAGTGCATGGCCATGCGCCCTGCTGCCCAACTAACATCGGCGGTCGCTTCAGCAGTCCCCTGTCAGCCATCCGTTTTATCTCACGCGGGAAACTCTCCTGATCGCGCGCGTAGTAGTCGGAGTTCCATTCCGGCGGGCCCGCGTGAGGGGACACAAGGTCAGAGAAGTCGACGAGCCGTCCACACGATTGCCAATTCGATTCGCGAAAGGGCACGACGTGGAAGCCGATGATGTGAAAGAAGTCGTGTTGGGCGACGATAGTGTCGATATCCAGCTCGTCTTGCGGCACGAACTCGTAGACGATTGCGTAGTAGGATTGTTCGTCGATCATAGCCTCTTGATCGCAAATTCGCGCCCTTTTGAGCTGCTTGTTGATGGCGCGCCCTTGAAACTCGATCCAGCCCAGACAGGCAGTAATCTGCACGTCGGCGGAAATTGGAACGAGTCTGGCCTCGCAAAGCTCGCCCGTATTGGCTTCGTCGGAGAAGGAAAATAGGTTCTTGAAGGCCTCTTCGCGGCTTTTTGGATCGGGAATGACAAGTTTCTTGCGGCCGTCCGCTGCGGCACGTCGGAGACTGGCGTTGATCATGTCCAGGAGCGCCGCATTGACGCATTCTCGCTCAAAGGCCCAGTACCATTCTGGTGTACGTGGTTTGAACTGAGATCAAGAATGTTAGTGAGAATCTCTGCAGAGTTGAAATGTTGATGCCACACGCACAATCTTGACTGCCAGCGTTTCGTTGTGGTAGCCACGAGCCTTGAAGACGAATCCATCTTGACCAGATCCCAGGCGCTTCGTCAACCTCAGACTTTTCGGATGGGGGAATCGTCGAAGGCGCGGGTTTTCGAAATTCATTGCGCTCATGGGAGGATCGCCAACTTTATCGCGCTCTGAGATAAACGGGAAACTGGACGCCATGGTCTTGGTGACGGGCACGTGGTGGAATGAGGGAGGGGGAAAGGGAGACGGAACGTGGGCGGCTGACGACGACTTGCTGGCTGACAAACACGCGCGCGTGTGGCACCAAGAAGCATTGGGGCCGTGCCGCATGCGTTACGCTACGAAGTACTTTGTGCGAAGTTCCTTGCCGCCTCAGTACGGCCCTCATGTGACTGCAACCCTACGTACTCCGTACTGCTCGTTGAAACTTAGCGCTAGCCTAATGCCACTACGCAGAAACGAAATTCAGCGGGAAAACTGTTGTCGTGATAAGCCCAGCTGCTGCCTGGCAGGCAACAGGCGCCCGTTTATGCATTGATTTCTCATTCTAAATTGAGGCGCTTCTACTCATTTCCCTGGTACTGTTGAGACTACTATTTCCAGCTAATTAGTGTTAGTGCCGCCTTGCCGCCTCATCTTGTTGATTGATATTCGGCCCCGCAAAGTAGGTACTCGGGAGGAAACCACTGGGTTGTGCAGGCAAAAGTGAAGTGACACTCCAACAGATGACCTGGCAGTGGACCCTATATGTCATGGAGGTGCTGGCGGCAGCTGACAGTACTGTACCTACTCTCATGCTTCTGAACGGGAATGTGGTCAATCCGCCTATTCGTAGAATCAGCACCTTTGGACAGCGAAGGAGCAGGCAATGTGCATATATATGTTCACTGCAGCAAAAGTCCCTGCCCGTACGGACTCACGGCGTAGAGTATCCCTCTATCCTAATTGGGCACAGCGCCATGCAGCGAGACAACCCGGACCGTCAAAAGGTCTGCATATCAGTCGATACGTGTGCGGGGACAGTGATGTCGAATGAAGCACGTGTGGGAATATATCAGGAGAGCCAATTCCGAGCAATTTTGTCAACCGTACACGCGACAACATGCCCAAGAAAACTACCATCCTCTATGAGCTAATCAGCCATTGCCTCAGTTGTTCAACAAGGCAAAGTCTGGCTCTAATACAACTAACCCATCGTGACCATGCATGAATGGCTGGACCGAGTGGGAAGATTTTGAATATAGTAAGCTTCACTCGTTGCTCGGCCATGTAGTCGAGGCGGACTGGACCCTGTCGGGAGATTTACCGCTGGACTTTCCCGACCAGGCGGCAGAGTTTTTCGATGAAGACCAGTTCGAACACGGAGTCGGCACCTCCTATATTTTTCCTCCGGTCAACAAAGCTCTTGCTCATGCCTGTCGCTATGTGGGACTTAAGGAGGGGCACGATTTCTTCTTGACCCAATCCGGATGCACTTACAATGACCCCGGGGCTGATCGTCGATTCAAGCCCGACTGGGCCATGGTTTCTCGTGGACGCACTTGGAGCTACCAAGATGGCAGCTATCATTATCTCAACCTTCTTCCTGGTGATACCAAGCTTTCAAACAAGTGGCACAGCTCTTCGTCAGAGGCCAATCTCGATCCCATCGAGCAAGCGGTCTGGCAAGATCCAGTACGGCAAATTCTGCAGTATTGCAGCAGGGACAAATGTCGTTATGGCTATCTCTTCACCGATGCCGAACTTGTTGTCATGCGAGTGGCCGTACAGCATACAGGCCCAGGCATCGCCGCTAGCAGACCACGGCGCCAAGTAGGGCAAAGCCATGGCCACTCTCATCAGACATCGACAAGCACAACTATGTCGCAGCTATCTAGTAGTATGCGGGATATCTCGCTAACGAGCGGGTCGTCCTACCGCCCTACGGCAGCCGCAGAGGATGGATACATCGTTGAATATAAATCTATCCCATGGGAAAATTGCGGCGAGGGGAAAATGTCTGTTCAGCTCGCCCTATTTTACCTGGCGTGGATGGCTGGCGTTGGCCGTAATAAGCTTCAGCTTAGCTATCCCAGCTTCGACTCCGCCTGGGCACTCCCAGACGGGACATTTTCACATAACACTACCGGTCTCGCGTCGAAAGAACCGGGAAATCTCGAGCGCCCTGATCCGTCAAGTCCCGGAGGTCCTTGTTGGGTCCAGGTGAGTGGCGGTGTGGCTGTTCTGACTTTTCAGTCGGCGCTTGGTCTCGATATCGCGGAGCATCAAGGACGCCTTTACTACTACTACCTACGTGGCGAAGGGGAGCCAGTGCGCGTGTTTCTCACCAGGGATGTGCTTATTCGGGACGAGGATCGCGATGCCTATGGATATTTTGATGGTTTGAGGTTCAGACATGGTCTACCGTCTTGAGGATCCGGGAGACGCAAGACACAAGTTTGAACATTCCTATGTAGTAGCTGAATTGGCCATATGTGTTGGATTATAAACGCTTGCTAAAAATGTGCCTTGAGGAATAAATTAATCCACAAGCAGTGGCTTGGGAGCACAGTAGGGGTCTCAAAGAGTGCCCAGAGAGAACGCTGTTTGAGTCGCAAGCTTGGCCCCTGGCCATGCTATTACCGCAAGCGAGTCCGAGACCCAATGGCCCCCCCTTCCCCTCTTCTGCTCTCTAGCTCTACTCGAGGGTACTTCAACACTATATCTCGGCCAAAACGCTTGAATCAAGCTGCTGCCTCCAGATGCCCTCTTCGCCTCGGCACATTCAACATTTTGTCCATGCCTGCGTAGCCAGACAAGAACGGACCATGAATTAATTTACTTGTATACTCTAAGCTGTCGGCATCCATGTCACGCGCCTAAGGGCCTAAAATCACCACACCCGGACCCCCGTGGAAATCTTCGGAAAAGAACAGCATATCGTTCACATATCTTCTAGCTACATGTCTTTATTGCAAACGTACGGAGCTCTAATTGAAACCAAAGAGCCAAATACAAGTGGGGATCACGATGCGTTAGCAGGAGCTGTCTCAGCAGTTGGCAGATATAAGATATTAGGGATGACTATAACTTACCGTATGAGTTCTTTCAATATCAATAATTGAATCGTCGGTCCCCGTTCTCCACTCTTTGTTTCGTCGTGCGAGTGCTTTTTACGTCTCACAGCGTCACCATTCTCCTCGCCCAGAGACAGCTCTCAACGTGCGTGGCCCCGTTCCACTTGACCAGTCCACAGCGAGTAGACCTGCATATAACGGCACTCGCTGTTGATGTGGGCATGGCCAGGAGTCTTCGATATCTAGGCCAGCCGAGTTGCCGTATAGCGCAATTGACTCGGCTGAAAATGCCGAAACGGATATCACAATGTCGAGCCCAGTCATGCTGGTATCCGCCTGCCAATGGAAACGCCCAGCACAGTGTCTTGCGGCCCCTGGCAATGAGACTGATCACCCCCACATTCTTGTGTGTATGTTGGTTCAAAGACACAAGTGAATCAAAGGGAGAGAACCAACAAACTGCTGGGTCAATCTAACGGTACATAACAAGACAACATGAAGGCTTAGGGTTTCGATTCTAGTCAAGTGCATCTCGCAGCTTCAACTACAAATATATACTTCCAGATGGAATTCGCCCATGTCCAGCAACAAGCAGTTCCACGACAGCTCGTTGTTGTTTTTTGGCGGCGTACGATAGCGGCGTCAAACCAGTCATATCCCCCGAATGAACGTCAACCTGGCCCGTGTCGAGCAGCAGCTTTACAGCAGCTACGTGCCCTTTCTCGGCGGCCCACGATAGCGGCGTCCTGCCGGAATTATCCCTCGAGTCGACATCAACCTGGCCCGTATCGAGTAGCAGCTTTATAGTAGCTACATGCCCTTTCTCGGCGGCCCATGAGAGCGGCGTCTGGTTAAAACAATCACTTACGTCGACATCGACTAGGCCCGTGCCGAGCAGCAGCCTTATAATAGGCTCATGCCCATTTTTGGCGGCCACCGAGAGCGGCGTCCGGCCGGAATTATCCTTCGAGTCGATATCAACCTGGCCCGTATTAAGTAGCAGCTTGACAACGGCTATATGCCCATTCTCGGCGGCCCACGAGAGCGACGACTGATCAAAATAATCCCTTACGTCGGCATCAACTAGGCCCGTGCCGAGCAGCAGCCTTATAATAGACTCATGCCCATTTGTGGCGGCCACCGAGAGCGGCGTCTGCCCGGAATTATCCCTCGAGTCGATATCGACCTGGCCCGTGTCGAGTAGCAGCTTCACAATAGCCACGTGCCCATTTTCTATGGCCCATGAGAGCGGCGTCCGCCCGGAATTATCCCTCGAGTTGACATTGACCAGGCCCGTGCCGAGCAGCAGCTTCACACCAGCTATGTGCCCAATCTCGGCGGCCCACGAGAGCGGCGTCCGTTTTTTGCAGCCCCCAGAGTCTAGATTGAGCTCCCCTTGCGCAATCAGAAGATGAGCGAGGGCCACATGCCCCTTCTCAAACGCCCAATGCAGTGGTGTCTGGCCCTTGGAAGCCGCGAAAGCCCGCCCATAATCGAGTTGCATAGAGACGTCGTCCGTCTGCGGGAGTGTTGTCTCCTGTTGCAAGAGTGTTTTAACCGCATCTCGATGATTATTAGCCAAGGCGGCGAAGAGAGGGTATTGATGTCGCTCTCCTCGAACGTTGATTCTCGGATGGTGGACAAGTGTTGTCCTCATGAGCCTCGTCAAATTGTTCTCTGCGAGAATGTACAATAGACTTGCGTTTTGCGTGTAGCGTCGAATTTCGTGCTTCTCGAACAGGTTATCCAAGTTGATCCAGGCCTGGAGGGGAAACTCTTCCAGGAAGGCGTCCTGGGAGTCGGTAGCTGCATCAGCATGGTTCAGCATATGGCGCGTTGCATATTCGAGAAAGGGGAACTTTTCTGACGCCATTAGTCGCAACTCCTTTGCCGCATCGGAGAATGCCTTTGGAAGTGGTTTGTCAGGGGGCACATGGTTCGAGATGTCGAGCTTGATGTAGGCAAGACAGCATTGCTGTAGCTGGCCATGGCTCACGCCCGGGAACTCGGCTGCTGTGAGATTGGGCCACAACTCCTGTAGGCCATCTTTGAGGAAGAATTCGCGCACCGACTCGTGTATGAACTGAACGGCTGCATTCTTGGACTTGGTTGCCTCTGCAAGTCCCTTGGATGAGCTCAACACGAACCTGTTCATGTCGTCTCTGGTGACTTCTTCAGGGTCCCATTCGCGCAACACATCAGGACTTAGTCCAGATACGGCTGCAAAGTAGTACTCTTCCAGCTTCAATGGACGCTTCGCAAAAAGAATCCACTGGACACAGAGCTGCAGGTCTCGCGGGTTCCTCTGATCCCTTCCCAGGATTTCCTTGAAGAGGTCGCTCAACTCGGACGGCAGCGCGTCAAGCCGCTTCCTGACATGAAAAATCCGCCCGCCCCTGTATTCTGCGTTGAGAATGTCGACAACAAGGACGACCCACATGAAGATGCCACCTGCCTTGGCCTGCATCTCGGTCTTTATTTCCTCGGCAGTCTTGCTCCTCCCGACCTTGAGCTTGCTTTGTATGTACGTGGCGATGTCCTTTTCGTGCCCCTCTTGATGCTCCAGGCTCAATTTTCGGCCGTGCTCGATTTCAATATGTGGATAGTGGCGACTGGAGAAGCACACGGTAAACCGAATTTCGCTGGAGACCGCGTATTGTCCAAGATCCTCAAAATACTCCACCATTTCTTCCACTTGACCTGTGTCGCACTCGTCAAGAGCGTCGACAAAGAACGTCAAGCATTGGAGACCAAGCCTCGCTATTGCGCTTCGCAGCAAGCCCCGGAGGAGTGCCATTGGCCACTCGGCTTGCCTGCTCTGGCTCACAATATTCTCGTGCAAGCCGTCGAGCTGAACCTTGTGCTCCGGCCCGTCAAAGACATCGAGAAGCCTCGGCAGGGCACTCAGGAGCTGGAACAGGAGAGAGAGATACATGCCAGCAGTCGACCGCTCCAAATCATCGCCTCTTGCATTGAAGAAGAAGGAGATGACGGTATTCGCCTTGTTCTTGGCCACCTGTTTGTAGGCGAAATTCATAATGGTCGACTTGCCAGTGCCGGGCTTTCCCCTTATCCATAGAAAGCCGTTGTGGTCGACAGCTTTTTCGGGATCGAGCCAGTCTAGATAATCGGGGTGTTGCAGCAGCCACTGGCAGGTTGTCGAATGGCTCGATTTGATGTTTGAGCGGCGGGCATCAATCAGGTCAAACTTGAGAGACTCCAAGAGGGTGTTGTGTCGTTCTACATGATGTTTTCAGCGAGCTACAACAAGCAAGCGCCAGATAGTACCAACCAGCATCATCTACAGGAATCGCAATCGTTGGTATCCCTTGAGCCTCATTGGCTGGTATGATGGAGAGGAGCTCAATGGCATATGCCGCCGCTGTTGCTGCTGCATACTCTTGCCATTGCTTGTTCTTGTGAGTATCGCTATAGTCGCAGATGCCGCGGATGACCAGACACGGAAAGCTGTCCATCAAGCCCGCCGCTTCCATCTCGAAGCACAGGACGTCGAGCTCTTGCGCCATCTTGTCCCTGGTACTACCGTCCTTGATGACAGTGTTTCCAGAGGCGATGACTCCGTAATGAATCTTGGGATCGGTGCTATCTCGAGCAGGTCGGTTGACCAACCTGAGTGGGTCGCAATCATCGCAGTTGTTCATCGACGAGACATGGTCGTACGTGCCGTCGAACAAGCGATCCTGGGACGGGCCGCAATGGCTGTATCTGGTCATTTTTGGATATCGGCTGAGCATATCAGATAGGATAGAGGGTAATTTGCTGGGATTCGACTCATGGACCGCCCGTAGCTTGGCGACTGCCGTCATGAGGGCCGGCGGTGGTCTCTTCAACGTACCCGTCCACTGCATACAGCCGCCCCCGACACGCTTTCCGAGATCGTGCTGCTTCACTCCATCACTGACGACTACATCGCCTAGTCGTATGTCGACCTTGCCAGGGACTCCGCCGCCAATACCGACCATCAACCCTATGCGGATGCAAGGGAAGCTTCGACGCATGTCGCCCGCCACCGTTGCCGCGTTGACTGTACCGTATTGTCTTGCTGGAAGACAGGCAAGGACAATGTTGTGCAAGCCAATATTCCCCAACGTATACGTGTTGCTGTCGCTGGGGCACGTGTATAAATCGTCGTGAACGTCGTCCAGCATCGCCCGAGCTGCGGCCAACTCGATGGGAAGGGCGCAGATCCAACCGACAGTGTAGTCGTGGGATGACATTCCCGAGACACCATCTTGAATTTGTCTCTCGTTATCGTTGAACGCCCGGTGCGGCCTCTGTCGCTTCGAGGCACTCGACGTTGGGCCCTGGTGGTCAGCATCTCCTCGACTCCGCTTTCCGTCGATCGAGGATCCTGTCTCGGCAACAGGTACTCGTCGACCAGGGCATCCAGAATCATTGTGGCGTCTTCCCGGCATCATCTTCAGATCGAAGCAATGTGGCGTCTCCATGGAGAAACGCAGCCTTTAGCAGGCTATCCACACCGAGTCGTCAGTGCCTGTCAGGAAAAGCATAAAGGAGGTTCGGGATCAAAGTCTACGGATACAAAGGAGCTGGATAATGCCGTGACTTGCGGGGTCAAGGAGAGCTGAAGTAGCGCAGATTCTGCCTGGCAATCGGGCATGTATTGGGCACAGCCACCGCCACAAACGGCAAGGCAGTTCATGCGTCTGTAAAGGACGAGCTTGAGACGACTATTGGCAGAACAAGCTGTCTCGTCGAAGTTGGTGGCCCTTGTTAGCCCTCATGGCTGATTCGCGGGTAAAGGAACACGGAAACTTGATGTGTTATTGGTGTTTCCACACCGTATGATTGCTCGGCAATCCGTCATTAAGGACCTTCCAACATTCTTTAATTTCAAACCTTACTTCCCTATCCAAGAAACCATAGTACATCCATGGGTTCTTCCCAAACGAGAACCACTGCCTCTCGCTTTCAAATGGGGAACATTACAACAACACTCACGAAGCCCAAACCCAAGAACAAGTTTTTACTCAAGAACTTTCATCAGACGCTTAGAGCTACTATAAGATAATGCTAAGCCCCTTATGGTATATGCTACATCGATGACGTTAGTGCAATTTTGAGAGTTGCTGCGCAGGACTCAGACGCGCGAATGAGCCCTATGGCGCAGACGTGGCTGGAATCACACTCGCTTTGCTTGTTTTATTAGGGCTCGTTTTAGTAATGCCGATCATAGATATACTGTCATATTGGTTCTTACTTCTTAGCCTAATTTAATGGGCTTGGATGATGAGCGACAAACAACTGTCGAAAAGGTTGCAAAAAACCACTCCAAAGGTCTAGAAGGAAATAATAATGAGCCCCCTAACTATAGGAAGCAGCCGTGGACATCCTCCCTAGTAGTTAGGAGAAACAAAGAGTAGATGTGTCATTCCTATACCTGCTGCGCATTCATCCATTGTAACGTCTTGCCCTGATTTAATCGAAAGTGAGGTCTAGCTAGCTGGCTGGCTAGTTGGGCTGATTGATTAACTTGGACATAATGAGCGCTGCGGTCAGGCTTTAGGCGTAACATGAAGAAGAGACAGTGACCTCAGCTTCGGGCATGACAATACGCTTCGCTTGAACCCTTACCCGCGTCTTCTGCTCGAAGCTATATGCCAGCCCAATCAAATCAGCCTCAGACCAGAGCCGTCCCACAAAGGACATGGCAAATGGTATTGACGGGGCTGCCCAGACCAGGGTCCCATTGTTTTGAAGCTTTCGTGACTCTACTGACGTGTTGGCCGGATAGTATCCCAGGGGCACCGTCACGACGGGTGCACCAATGTGATTGGCCATTCCTGGAGCAAAGTTGGTGGGTGTCGCTATAGCTGTAAGGTTGTGCCTCTCCAGGGCGCCGAGCAATCCATCGGGCCCCTGGAGCCGTTGGAGTCTTTGCCAGGCGGGCCAGAAACGTGGATCAGTGTTGTTGTAGCCGACTTTTTCGAGAGCACCATCCCAAAAGTTGGTGCCCCATATATCATTCTCCTCTGCCGGGGCATTGCGCGTTCGCTCCCGTAAGTCGGCAAGAGTGTAGATATTAGATGGGTTCTCACTGAGCTGGGCAAAGTAGCCGGGAATGTCGGTAATCAAGTCCGCCCCGAGCGTGTACAAATTGTCGAGCGAGGTAGAGTTGTCGCTACCTGTCCTTGTGAAGTTGGCCTCAACAATGGTCGCTCCGGCATCTTCCATGATCTTCAATGCATTTCGAAAGGCAACAAACTGGGGGGTGTCATCCTTCTCGAAGCCCCGAGATAGATTAAAGACGTTGTAGGGCACCCCGATACGCGCTCCCTGAAGAGCCTTGTCATCGCAGGCAGCCACGTAATCCGGGAGAGTGCTGAACGGTGCCGCGGACGTATAGTTGTCGGCCGGATCCGGTCCCGCGATGGCATTTAGGACATGCGCCGCGTCTCGTACCGTCCGCGCCATGGGCCCGATTGAGTCCCGATGTTCTGACGCGGGGATAACTAGGTGGCGCGAGACAAGCCCTACAGTCGACTTAATCCCTACAATACCGTTGATCGACGATGGGTATGAAATGGAGCCGCCTGTATCGGTGCCAATTGCCGCGAAGGCTAGACCCAAGTCGGCAGACACGCCGCTGCCGCATGAGCTCCCAGAAGGGGACTGATTCGGATAGTACGCGGCGTATGTCTGGCCTCCGTACGGCGAATAGCCAGTAGGAATATCGCTGCGAAAATCGGCCCATTCATCCATATTTGCTTTGCCGAGGATAATGGCTCCGGCGTCGCGGAGCTTCCTGGCTATTGTAGAATCGTGGGGAACCTTTGCTCCGAGCAGGAGAGTCGATCCGGCTTGAGGCTGCCTTAGTCGTCATGGTTCCCTGCTGAGATTGACTCAGAGGAGCGATAAGTACTAACCGGTGTTATTCATTTTGTCCATCGTGGCCACGTTATCCTTGAGAAGAATGGGTATCCCGTGCAGGGGCCTGTATTTGCAATGAGCAAGCAAGCACCATCAAGCTGGCACAACAAAGTCGTAGTTATCGCTCACCCGAGACGTTTGCCACCGGCTTTCCTCTCCTCATCGAGAGACGCTGCAATGGCAAGCGCATCTGGGTTGATCTCGGTGACAGCACGAACTTTGCTTTGAACTTGCCGGATGCGCTCTTGATATGTCTGCTGTTGGTAAGTAGAGTGGGCATGGCATAAAGTGAAAGTCATTCGGACCTACCTTTACTAAGTCAGAACTACTAAAGCATCCCCTGCTAAGTCCTTGCTGAAGATCCTCGAGCGTTGCATTGATGAGACTAGGAAATGTCCATTCAGCTGGAAAAACACACAAAAGAGGTCAGCATCGAGTCTCGCATCCACAAAGAACTGTTAAAGTGCCGGTAAAACTCAACTATTTGTCGAATCTGCCGAGACAGAAATGACGGCCAGGAACAGGCAAAGGAGCCAGGATATTCCCGTGCGCTTTTCTTTATACATTGTTCGTTAAATTTGGGCGCTTGCGACGAGAACGGCCGAATGCTGGTGATTGATGGATCGAGGAAGAGAAAACAAGAGACGGTCCCACGTTGAAGTTCATCGTTTTGACTGGTAAGGTATGTCTGGCATTTAAATACTCTTTCTTAGAAGAAATAAGGCTATGCTGAAGTCCTCTTCTAGGCGACTTTAGTTTCTGTGGAAAGTGATGCCCTCCTGCAGAGGGACGCAGACCCAATGATGGTCCCCGGCGCGGCTAACTCATGTGGGCTCAGGGCCGATCCTTGCAGGGGGGTAGTTTTTTCTCTCTTCCCGGCCACATATCCAGAACAACTGACGACTAAGAAGCGGTCTACGATAGATACTTGGCTTGAATAGGTAAAATTAATGCGCTCGATTCTCGGTATAGTTCAAAAGGGTACACTGGGTGGTTTGTTTCGGCCTTCGGCATTTCCTCAAAACTGCAAGTCCGGGGCCGCTCAGTCTCACGGGGCCCGGGCTTGCATGAGACCAGCCCATAGCAAAAATAACCGCTCTTTGTAATTGTTTATTGGCAGTACTCGCTATATCCACGTCCCTAAAAGATGCTTACGCGGTTGTGGGCTTGGGGGGTGGGTGGGTTCTTGTTTTCTGAAGGGGTAAGGGGAGACGTTACGGTCTCATTCCTACAATACTAGCCGTACATATATGCTGATAGGATCTTTCTGTATACGCTAAAAGCGGTATGCGCCTAAGGGCCTGAGTCATGATATCTAAGCCCTCATGGCAATCCTTAGAGAAGAATAGCATATCATACAAATAATCTAAGCACTTCGTAGATGGTATACAAGATGAGGATACAGGCGCCGAGTAAAAGTTTCAGGCGCTCGGCTACGCCTGAAGACATGGCGGGATGCAATGGACGAATTTCTATTATTAGTTACGTATAGCTGGAAGTAAGTTGGGGCGTCCTCCATCGTTCCCCAAGGACTCTTCCTAGATATAGCGAGCCCTAGCGGCAGTTCTAAGCGCATTCGCCTTAAATATTAGTAAGAAATATGTTTGGGAATCTGGCTTTAGTATCTAAATGGCGATAAAGGCTTCTATAAGCCCGGCTCGGTACGCGAGCCCTAATCTATAGCGGCGGTCACAGCACCTTGGACACGTTATGAGCGCCGAGAATAGATGGTATCAATTCCTACCCATGGCCCTAAGTCATGACACGCCTGAAGAAATGGCGGGATGCAATGGACGAATTTCTATTATTAGTTACGTATAGCTGGAAGTAAGTTGGGGCGTCCTCCATCGTTCCCTAAGGACTCTTCCTAGATATAGCGAGCCCTAGCGGCAGTTCTAAGCGCATTCGCCTTAAATATTAGTAAGAAATATGTTTGGGAATCTGGCTTTGGTATCTAAATGGCGATAAAGGCTTCTACAAGCCCGGCTCGGTACGCGAGCCCTAATCTGTAGCGGCGGTCACAGCACCTTAGACACGTTATGAGCGCCGAGAATAGATGGTATCAATTCCTACCCATGGCCCTGAGTCATGACAGCAGAGAGAAACTTGATCAGGAACGGCGCAGTTCCCTGTATTCTCTAGCATAGACTTTTCTACCGGGCCGAATGTCATGTGGCAAGCTAGCCCTGCCGTTCGCAGGGCCGCGTCGTATTGCTCTCCCTGGCGCTTGGTTTGATAGAGATGTCAGTTCGATGCTTCCTTGTCGAAGCCTGGCCGAGTAATATGTGCAAATGCTAAAGATAAGACTACCCAGAGGCTTGTTCATGAATCAGGAGATTTAGTTGCGGACTTGCATTAACTTACCGACTGGGGCTTCCCGTGCCTAGCTGTTTTTAAAAGCACCAATCAAACTGTCTGACATGAAGGCAGTGAGGTAATGCTCTAATTTTGGTCCAGCATGAAGCAGTACCGAGTGTGAAGTATATGGTTATGTTATTATTTCTCGATATGAGTTACTCGCCGCACATCAAGTTCCAATTTTACATCATTATGACTCGTCGTATGATCCCTCAATCTATACTTTGTATACTTGCTAACTGTAAGGTGAATTTGCCCACTAAGCCCGATGAGCGTTGAAGACTGGACTATATATAGTTGTCTGCCTCCGACTTATGCAGTCCTGGAGTATCCCACCGGTTGACTCCACGTTGTATCATGTGGCCAGGCCACGGGTTATAGTCCGAGATGGAGACAATGCGGCAGAGAAGTGGGAGATGCTCCACTGTGGAAATAATAAACCCGGTAACATTGGGCCGTGTTCGAAATATGACCACATCGGGATAACCTCTGAGAGTGCCAAGCCTGAAGCGGGAGCCGACATCTTTACAGTACTTAGTGAAGGGAGCGGGCGAATGGCGGCCTACCTGGTTGCCCAAGAAGGCAGGTTAAGCCATGACGACCTACGTGCATCGTGGACGCGTGCCACCAAGGCGTGGTCGCTACTGTGAAGGGGTTTGCCTTGGCAGGCTTTACAGTGGGCCGGCCACGATGGAAGTTACCGCCGCATAAATTTTAAACTGTACGAATGGTTCAGGCTTCTTGCACTGAGTACGAAACTACTACCTATCGAGAGGGCCTTGACGGATTGCTGGTTAAGCATACAACACAAGACTGTATTAATAGGACGAGTAGGGGTAGCCCCAACTTGGGCTTGGCTTTGTGAAATCTCCTCATTTCCCCCCTCACATTGCAGGCTTCCAAGCCCCTTCATCATGCTAAGTCAGTCTTGACTCTTGCATCATCATGCCTAAAGCACTCTCTATCAATCGTCGTGCCCCTAAAAAGACCCATATCCGATCATTGCCCAATTCCCACTGAAAAAACCCAGACCATGCCTGGGAAGACAGCAAACCTACAACCAAACGGCCGACAACAGCGTCAACCTCGTGCCCAAGACGCCGGTCCGGCCAGCTCAGAAGGCCACCGACGACGCCGTGCAAACCGTCCTCAGGGCGCAGCAACGCGAGAGGGAGAATGTGGCTGTTAGGAACCTCGCGCTCTCCACTACATGGGAGAGAGTGGCGGGTAAGAATCCTCATATTCCGATAACGTGAATGAGTATTGACACCATGTCCGCAGCCCTTCTGATGGATATTCCGAGTAAATAGATGTCTATTCGACCATTAAGTCAGACTGCCCTGGCTCATCTTCGCCAGCCCAGAGAAGTCGGGTTCTCAGACGGCCGTCAAACGTCCGTTTCCCGCCCCTGCTGCCGTCGCTGGTCCCAGTGATCACCAATCTGGTCGAGACAATGCGACAGAAATATCAAACAATAGTATCGGCGAGCTCAATGAAGAGAGATCTTCGTCACAGGCTGGATCCTCGTCACCAATCCGGAAAGGCCGACAGCAGAAACGAATCTGACAGCCATACCAGGGCACACATTCCCCAAAAGACCCAACAGGTGTCTGACCAGCCCAGACTGGAACCTGCCGGCTTTTTAGATCTCTCGAGGTGCCTGCTTGATGTCTCCAGCGTCTGGCGTACATTTATGCCGCTGCGTTGGGCAACCTACACCGGTTTTTATGAAGCCATCCCGGATGATTCCGTCTCGCCGCGTCAAGTCCGTGGTATTCACGGCGAAACATCTGTCACCACAACTGCAATACGAGATGATTAACTTGAACTTTTCCCTCGGCTATCGACACTCGACGACGCATTCGACTCCGTCATGATCATCGTGGATCGCTTAGGCGAGGAGTGCTTCCTATAATCCGCCAATAAAGCAAACCCCCCATCGAAAACCGGAGAGGAACTAACCACGCGTCAATTGCAAGGCAACCGGGGGTATCCAAAGTCCGTTGTCTCAGATTGAGACCTGAAGATCTCTCAGTGGTGTGGAGACGGCATAACGCGAAGCTGCTATACTCAGTAGCGTACCACCCACAGCCCGACGACCAGATGGAGCGCTTCGTTCAGACTGTGTAAAGCGTCATTCGCGTATGGAACACATCCCTCGAGACTCTAAACAAATGGTCTCAGGCACTCCCGTTCATACAGGTCGAACTCAACAACGCACCGGCCGCGACGACTGGTCTCGCACCGAACGAGGTTCCCAAAGGCTCCAAGGCCAACACATTGGCTCAGTCGCTCACGGCCCATAAGCCACCGCTACCGGACATTCCTATGGCCCGAATAGCTTCCAAGCACGCAGCCGAGATCGCCTCGATGTGCATAAAGAGCAGAGATGACTGAGGCCAAAGTTTACCTGGGTCATGTATCAATCAACATGAGCGGGCATCTGCACTCACCTCTAATGCGATGAAGGAGAACTGCCACCATGCCAATTCACCTCTCCTAGTCTTATAATCTGAGCTCTCGGCTCATCTTTTAGACCCATTAGTTGATGAAACTCGTATGCTTCTCACAGCCGCGTCCGACCCTGCGAATCAAAACCTCGCCGGTCGGAAGGGGAGCTTGTACCGCTAAAATACTTCAAATTATTCGTTTCTATGAGAGCTCTCATCGTGTCTTCCCGACTCTTTTGTTTCCTTGATGTTATGTACATGAATATGTTGAGCTTCTTAAGGCTCTGTCTGATGCTGCGCAGTACAACCTCACCGTCATCAATAGAAACTTTTCAAGCTGATAGAGTACTGCTCTTTGGCATCCGACCCTCTCGATCGAGAACTGAATAATTGACTCGATTGCGATCTTGAGATCCTACCCGCAGCTGACAGCATCGGGGCACTGCGAGCACTCTCTTACCAGTGTAATCGCCTGCGTCTATGCGGAATGGCAAGTATTTGTTCGCATACTCGCCTTGGTCTTCTTCTGTCTCTATGATGTTGATCTGTAGCACGTCTGGATCGTCATCACCTACAGGGACGCGGTGATCAAATGTGACCCCGTAGTAGTCGATTTTGCTAGGGTCAAGATTTAGTTGCGGCCAGAATCACACGGAGTTAAACATACTGTCCGGCCGAAAGAGGTTGAACCCAGCCCAAGTATTCATCCCGAACAACAACGTCTGCAGACCCGATCATGTCGTCTCCCTTGCCGTCTTGATTATAGAGGACACGATACGTCAACCTAGCGAGTCTTTCGGCTGCCGACTGAAACCTAGTAGGTTCCCACACAGGGTGCTCAAGCCTCCATTTGAGGCCTTGGAGCAATTTTTCGACGGACACCAGCGGGCCCTCAATCGAGATTCGGAGAGGCTTTTCTAAAGGTGGCGGATGAAGGCTGTGGGCGGGATTCATTATGCAGTCTGGTATGTGAAGCTCAAGCGCCATTGAGGGACGATGTGGATGATCGTTTCGTGCAAACTGGCAAGTGCAATGATTCTGGCGTGAGGGGAGAGAGGTTTAGGACGAGGGATGTAGCATGCTATCTCACCAACAAGCACTTGACTACAAGTGCTTATATGCGTGCTCGGACATACCGACCTGCGTTCTTTTCAGCACCGGTTGCCGCGCGCCTGGGAATCGGCTGTTCTAGCTCAAGGTACATGCAGTCACCTTCTTTATTAGTTGTTAAGCAACCAAGTTCTTTGCATCAAGCTAATGCAGTCTGTTATGTCCAGGACTTGTTGGCCTTGTTTACGACCTGCGTATGCATGCACACTTGCTTTTCATCACCTATAAGGGAGGCCAGGAGCCAATTGTTGGTTCCATGCGGGCGGACATACCCCTTGGTTGATGTTCATTTTGCGTGCAACGCGACTCACACAGAGGTCTTTTTGTAGACGCGCGGAAGCCAAAGCCCAAGATGAATATAGTGCAGCACATCTATATCCACCTTTATTGTTGGTTGTAGAACAACGAAGCTCCGAAAGTTCTTCGCATCAACCGAATGCAGCGCATATGCCCGAGACTTGTTGGCCTTGGGTATGACTTGCGTATGCATCCTTCTCAATTATAAGAGCCTAAGAGCCAATGGTTTCGTACGGGCAGGCATGTCCCTTAATTGATGTCCGCTGTACGTGGCGCAAAATCCACACAGAGGCTAGGCGTGCGCAAGATGAGACTGAGGCTCATATGGTCAATACAGTTTGGCGAAGACGGTGCACCTTCCGTATATTGCGGACTTCCAGTATGAAAAGAAACCCAGCCGACTCTTCATGTCCTGTGATTTCTCAATCTCATCCTCTACGTTCACTAGAAGTCAAAGTTCGACTTCTCAAACTTGTTCCTTCTTCATCGGTATGTGATCACTGCCCTGCCAGCCCCAGTGTTCACAATCTTCAGCCCACCGAACTGAATGTCAGTCTGGAATCTTCTAACGAGAGCTAGAAAATGTGCACCTATGTTACCGACTACTACTCTTGCGGCCACATACGGCGGACTAACGAATATCCTTGCGCCAGACCTGGTTCTCGAAACTGTCTACCAACCTACCGAGACGGGCACATCTTTCCTTCAAACTGCGGCGCTCAGGCTTGCAACACGCCTCCCTCGTCGGATCGCAACAGATACCGGCGTTAGTGTATCGTGCTCACACTATATAAAATGAAACGACTTTGGGCTTCTCGAAGGTAGGAGAGGGGTTTCGGGCGAAGTACTTGCGGACTAGTTAGTTAAATACAGCTTACGTTCTCATTGTAGGTCAGTCACGCCTTGTCTACCTTGACGCTCTGCAGAAAGCCATCTAGCTCGGATCGAACTGAGCAGGCTATTCTTATATAAGTGGCGAGTATTAGGATTATCCCTAGCCTTGAAATCCCTGCGTAGGTCAGTTAAGTCAGGGCGTTACGAAATATCCATCCCCAAGAGGACGCACAGTCAAAGGCTGTGACGTCGGCGATGGTGGACCGACAAGGGACCAGACATGGTGCACTCGCGGACGCGCCAGGCTGCTTTGCGATACGAACCGATGCTGAAAAATGATGCCATGGGAGGATATGTGCGCTGAATTTGACTACGGCGTGAGTGAGCCCAAGAATGAGACAAGAGGCTGCAAGACAAAGTCTAACCCACGTCTCTTGCTGTTGCCCCGAATCGATGCCATCGTTGCTTACTGATAAGGTTTTGCGTCTTAGTAGAAAGAAGCAGTCGGTATGAGGTTGGCCGTAGCTGCGACTGCGAAAAGAAGCCCGCCACTTCCCCCTTGTCTCCTGTCCCCTCCCCTCTCTTCTTCTCTTTTTCTCTCTCTCTCAAGGCACAATGTTAACATTACTCTCAATATCGCTCGCTCTCTTGTTTCTACTCGCCTGCCCGCCTGTGCGCTCAGTCGCCGGCCCGCCAGTCTGTTTGCGCGCGCGCCTGCCCCCTCGCGAGCCGTCACCACCGCCGCCCTGGGCCCCTGACCTCCGACAGCAGGCGAGCTACCAGTCTTTCCGGACGAAAGTTTCGGCCTTCTTTCTAGGCGCGTGTGTACTTGTGCTCTTAGTTCGAGGATTACGAAAGGGGCACTGAGGGGTGGAATATATCCATGCACACGGCGTCCATAAAGCGGCGTCCGTAGCAAAGTGGTGCGTCGCGCATATCAATTGCCTTCGTATCTCGCGGCATGACCTGGCAAGTAAATCTCTTGGGGTAGCTCGTCGTCAAAAAGTTTGATGGGAGAGTAATCGCCCAGACCACCCTCTTCTACTGGTGTGTAGCCGTCGTGTCGGTCCTTGGTGCAAAGGCGGTACACATCTACACCCATCTCTCTGCCTTGGCGACTTCCAATGGGAATATACATTCCACTCTCAGGAGTTTGCTTTATGAATCATCTTACGGCTTAGTCTCGACAGACGGTGCTTCCCAGGCCAGGCGGTCTACTCCCAAGGGCCTTGGCGTGGATTGCCGCTGCGTTTCTTGTGGCCTTTGTAACCATCATCACCGGGAAGCGCATGTGGAGAAGAGGTAGTGATCGCTACCTCCTGTTATATTATGGGCGTGCGCCTCGACAGCGACGGAGGGAAAGCTGGGGAAGAGGACAGAAGACGAGATTTGGATTACGCCCCGATGTTGTGGGCCCGGGCACAAGCCTTGAGGGCTGTGCCGGTCTCGAGGGGGCCGACTCAGCTTTGAACAGACGGTATTATAGGTAAACTTAAAGTGCTGGTTATCTATATACAGCATCTTTGCTACCCTAGAAGCGACTCCAAAGTTATTAGGCATAGCCTACCAGATCTTGGGTGGCTCAATGTTGTATCACAAGCTAACATACTTGTTCCCTACTATTAAGGAGAGGGGGCATAAGAGGCCACAGTTATGCCTAGTAGACCTAATAATTATATATAAGGAAGCCTGCCTAACTAATATAACTCCCCTAGCCTAAGGATATTATATACCCGTGCCACGCCCCACTTTATTTGGAATTCGCAAGCTCCCACCTCCTAAAGTTGGTGCTCACCACCAGTATCCCCACACCACCGGAATACCCAGAATTTCGACTCCCCGACTTCAGCATCCCTATATCTTAACCAATTCACGATCTCGTCGATAGCCGAAATGGAAGCACGTGTACAAAACGCTCTTCGATATATTGAAAATTTTCCGGTGCTAAAGTCGCAACCGTAGCGCGAGAATTCGGTGTAACACGTGATCGATTGCGATACCGTCTTCAAGGCCGACCTCCTAAAACTGGCCAGCGAGCTAGAAATACGAGGCTTTCCGAACCAGAAGAGAAGGCCCTATGTCGCTATATCGATCGTTTGGATAATATAAACCTTGCGGTACGCGTCGAGTTCGTTACTGACGCGGCAAACTGTATCTTGCGCGAGCGGTCTAGCCAGCGCGACGCTCCTACCGTGGGGCCAAACTGGACTTCTCGCTTAAAGCGTCACGGCTACTTCAAAAGCGCCAAAAGGCTTCAAGCAGAGCGCCAAGTCTCCGAGAATCTTACACGAGTTAACCAGTATTTCCAGCATCTTCGGCAGGTTATCCAAGACAATGGTATACCTCCTGAGGATATCTGGAATATGGACGAGACTGGTTTTCGCATCGGGGTTGGAAAAGACCAGCTGATTGTGACAAAACGGAGGAGAGCTCATTATTTTGGCATTCCTGAGAATAGGAATCCGCTACTGCGATCGAAGCTATCTCGGCGAATGGGGAGGTTGTTCCGGCTTTTTTGATACTCGCTGGCCAGATGCACATGGCTTCATGGTATCAAATACCTGAGCTAGATCCTGACACAGTTATTCGACCCACGCCTACTGGTTACTCAAACGACGTGATTAGTCTGGAGTGGCTCCAGCATTTTGACAAGCACTCGGAAAAAAGCTCAAGAAGCTCGAAGCGACTTCTAATTCTTGATGGTCATGGCTCTCACCATACCAGGCAGTTCATTGAATACTGCGACAACCACAATATTATTCCCTTCGGCATGCCGCCTAATCTCACGCATGCACTTCAGCCTTTGGACGTTGTCGTTTTCCAGCCCCTAAAGCACTATCACGCCAAGGCTTTAGATGTCATGGTTCGAGATGGCCTCGTCAACATAACCAAGCTTGAGTTCTCTCCTGCATTCAACAAGTACGATTGCATGCTTTCAAGGAGAGTACTATACGCTCCGCATTTCGCAAGACAGGAATCTTCCCATTCAATCCACAAGTAGTACTTCAATGTTTGAAGCTCGTCAAGCCACGACACCCACACCTCCTCCCAATTCAGGACCACACTCCTCACCTTTCGAGACACCATTGACTCTACGACAAATAAACAAGGTAGCGGACAAATTAGATCTCGTCCTTGAAGACGATAAAAGCCTGGATCCCGACTTTTCTCACGATCTCAGTCGATTTATTCGAGGATCGCTATCTCTGGCGACTGAGCTCGTGCAGACTAAAAGGGACTTGGGACGAACCAAAATGGCGGAGCGGATCCAAAAACAACGTAAGGCTATGAAGAATATACAGTTACAATCAGGAGGAGTATTGTCAGTGGCCCAAGGACGGGAAATGGTGCAACAAAGGGAGATGATCAGATTGCTAAAGCAAGGAAGGTAGTAGAAGACGCGGAGAAAAGGCGCATAACGCACGCAAGCGATGGTTTGAGGAAGCAGCAAAAAGGCACGCCAATGGAGGGTTCAGGAAGGTTAGAACGAGTGGAAGTACGCGATTCTGAGCGTGGTACGCGGTGGTTGAAGCGATTCTAGGTCGGGGAGTCGAAATTCTGGGTATTCCGGTGGTGTGGGGATACTGGTGGTGAGCACCAACTTTAGGAGGTGGGAGCTTGCGAATTCCAAATAAAGTGGGGCGTGGCACGGGTAGGCCTAACTTAGGTATAGAAATATCTTAATACCCTCTTTTAGCTAGCTATATATAGTTAGGCCTTGACTACAGAGCCGACCGGTCTGCCTAACGAGCCGACCAAATATGGGGAAAGTGTGGCTAGTCGAGGCGCAGCGACGATACCGCAGAATTAGGTGTGCGCGTTCCCCGCGCCTACTGCGCGCCCTCTATACGTACCTGCCTGCCTTATATAAAGTAAAATAAAGCTATTTGCACCTACGGGCACGAAGGCAGGCATAAGCTGCTTTTTATATATTCGGGCTCGAGGCTTAAAGATACGTTATTTTATCGAATTAAGCCTTGCTCGCCCGCCTACTTGCCTACGACGCTTTATATCTTTATAGGAGGCCCGTATTATATAATTCTCGCTATACCTCGCCTTTTGCTTAGACTTCCCTATCCGCCCTATCCTATCTATCCTCTTACGAGACCTATTATAAGGGCATCGCGATAATAATTTCGTCTTATATCTCCTTAGCTGCCGCCTCTATCTCTATATCGTCTACTATATCGTCTACTATATCGTCTACTATATCGTCTATATTAGTAGCCTAAGGGTCTCTAGTAAGCTTATCGTTAGAGACTAGCGTGCGGCGTATAGCTCGTTAATATACTTATAGTATACGCGTGCCTAGCTTATACGTATCGCTATACTATTAAAGATATTATAAGCTTTATATAGTAACTATTACGGTAGCCCTATTAGTATTAAGAGCTAGCGGTGCTATTAAGGGCGGCGGCCTTATAGCCTCGGCTCGTTCGATGCTTTCTATAATATCGTAAGCTAATAGGTCGCGCTTTATACCGCGTTTCTCGAGGTTAAGAGCGCCTTTAGGCCTGCCTTTACTATATATAATAAGCGGCTTAAAGGGAGCCCTAGGGCCTATAAAAGAGGCTTTTATAATATACTAAAAGACGTTAAAATCTTTAAGCTATAGCGATACGTTATTATTAAGCTATTTAAAGATAAGATACTAGTATAGTAAGCCTATACTAGTATTAAAGCTATAAGGGCAGCGGCTTAATAGCTATATAAGCCTCTTTATCTATATATTCGTTTAAATCGTATAGTATTATTCGGCTATAAGCTTAAGCGCTTAAGATAATACTTTTTCGCGGATAAGGAGATAGAGGTTCTTAAGGGTAAAGGAAGAGATCTTATATATATTATAACGCCGAATAGCTTTAATTTTAAAAGCCTAATACGCCTAGAAGGTAGCGAATTTATAAAAGACCGTTATAAGGTCCCTTATCGACGATTAAAGGAACCGCTTTATTAATAAATAAAGGCCCTTAACGATAAAGGTTATTATATACCTAAAGTAATAATACCGGTTAATAAAGTAAGCGACGATCTTTTCTTTCTATAGTTTAAGCTAGGTCTATAGCGTATAGCGTATAGCGGCAGCTAGGTGCCTAGACGCTTTATAGGCTTATAAGCGTTATTTAAAGTTATTTATTATATTTAAGCTAATAAGAGTCTCCTAGTCTTTAAGGAATAATAAGAAGCTTACGGCACGCTTAACCTAGCCCTTACTATTACGTATAGCCTTAGGAAAGTAAGCTTTATATTTAGTAAGTATATTCTTACTAACGTACTAGCGGTAAAGTAACTAGGCTATCTTCTCGAGCTCTTAGAACGCGTTAAGGGCGTTAATAAGGGCGAGGTCGCGGTCTATAACGATAACCTAAAGGTCTCGCGTAGAGAGATATAAGAAGTGCATGTAAAATGCACGAAGGTGAAATTGGAAGTAAGGGGACAGACAGGTAGGGCTAAGCTGTTTGATTCTTACGGGGGCAGCAATTACGGCAGGGGAGTAATTGTTATATTGCCTTAATTGTCCTTCTTTCCTCTATCTAACGCCCCTCTTTATACCTATCTAGTATCTTAATTAACAAAGAAGATCCTACTCAAAGAAGCTACTAGTGTCCTTTTAACTACCGAGCTTTTTGCCGGGTTTCCCCCTCTTTTTCAGCCGTTGCTAGCATATCCGTCTTATCTTTCGCCACCTCTATAGGAAGCTATCGCTACTTCTACTTCCCCTTATAACCCTACTTTAATAGGGACGAGGGCATATACCTAAAGCACGCGTAGTACGTATCTAAGGATTAGCAGAGCAATTAACTACGTAATTATCTAATTATTTAGCCTATATATAGCTTTAAGGGCCTTAGGTTATAAATATAAGTCTTAGAGATTTCTTTACTCTATGCCTCTTCGTCTCTACTAGAGTCGCGCAACTAGCGGTATCTACTTTAAAGGGGAAAAACAAAAATTTAAATTAACTATAATTTAAGAAGATTCCTAATTAGATAATCGAGGTCTTTATAACGCCTTTAAGTATACTTAGAAGTAAGTTAAAAGGGGAGTGCTAGGGGTCTTATCCCCCCCCTAATAGGCTAATATCTATAGGGGTGCGATCTTACTTATTAAACTCCTCCCTAGTAACTTTCTAACCTAGGATACTAATAGAAAGGGCGCAATAATAACGGGTAAGGTTCTCTTCCTAAGTATATAAGTAAGTAAATAAACCGTTAATAGAACTTTTCTCCTTTACTATAATCCTTTCCCTTCGCGTCCTTTATTCCTCCCTTTACCTACGAGCTACTCGTTTAGCTCTTTCCTATTTTTACTTATATACTTCCTTCTTTAAATAATTATCTACTACCCCCTATATACGCTCCTAAGTATTCGCGCTTATTATTCCTAGAGGCGTTAGGGAAACAAAGTAGTTAGCGTCTTTACTAGTCTATAGCTTTAGGTATAGCTAGATTAAATAAGCTATAGAGTCTTATAGGCTAATTATTATCGCGTTACTAGTAGTCTTACGTAAATATATAGAATTATAGTTATTAATATCCTAGCGGTAGTTCTAATATATTCCTAGGTTTTTAACTCCTTTAACCTAGGAGGGTTTAAAACCTAGTATAAACCTTATAAGGACTATAGCTAGAGAGGCTATTACTATACTTCGTTTCTAGGAAGTAACGGGGCGTGCTATAGGCGTTACTAGAGTCTTCGGCCTTAGGGTAATTAACCGAGCGCCTAGTAATTTCGGAGTCCTAGGGCGAGTTAGTAGTTAGGCTATCTACCTTTCTTTATTACTAGCTCCTTATTAGGTTATTAGCGGGGGTATAGTTATAAGTCTTTCGCTCCTTTATATATTTAAAGGAGTTATTAATAGCGGGCGAGGAGTAGGCCTAATTAGCTATATATTAAAGGGGGAGAATAAAGGCGTCGTTTCTATATAGATAAAGGGACTAATAAGGGCGCTTAGCTCTCTCCTTTATAGGCTCTAGGGTAGGGATCCTATCTTAAGGTTACTTAGGGAAAGGCTACTTAGTTTAAATAAGGAGCTTAATTCGGTTAACGCTTAAGGTAACGAAGGACTAGGTCTATTCTCGATTCCTATTAACGTAATTAGATAATTAAGGGTCTTTTTAAAGAGGAGTTTTATAAAGAAACCGCGCGTAGCTTAAACGATTAAGTTAGGTTGCTCCGTAAGGGTAGCTAGTATAGATAGCTCCTTTCTCGCTTTCCTTACTATATAAGCTAGTTCTATATCTCTTTAGAGCAGTAGTCTTTATCTAGTAGGCCTATCTAAGAGGTTAACTACCTCTAGGACTTCCTAGAGGTCTTATTCTTCTTAGTCTCCTAAGATAATACGGTTATATTAGTAAATCCGCTCGCTCCTAGGAATCCTTATAGGAAAGACTCTACTAAAGGTCGTTAGACCTTAATTAGATAGTATCCTTTATAGTCGTTTAACCCCGCTATTAAACTACTAGGAAACTCTACCGCCCTATAATATCGCTTATATATAATTAAGCTCGTTCGCCGCGATAGCTTAGATTCCGTATATTAGCCTATCGATATAGCCTTTTATACTTATCCTCTCGTCTAGCTTAAAGAAATACTAGTCTTAATATAAGATCTTATCTATTTATAAGGCTTCTTACGTTACCCTATACCTTTACTCTAGAATTACTTTAACTTTTAAGTATTACTATTTAAATATCTTAAGGTATAGCTTAACTATGCCTTTAACCTAGTATTAGATTATTATTAAGGCTAAGTAGCTATATTCCTACCCTTCTTACTAGGCGGTATAAGGGACTAGCGTATAGGTAAAGTTATAAGGAACTTAGAGGATATAAAGAAACTACCGCTATACTTATAGGAATATATAGAGTCTAGCGTATCGTCCCTCTTTCTAAGTATTAAAAACGACTAGGTTTCCTTCTCTATAGTCTTAAAGGAACGCCCCTTAGTAGAGTCCCCCTTTATTTATACCTACCGAAAAGTTAATAACTCTAGTTATATACCTTTATTTATACGCGAAGCGACTAAGGTTAAAGGTAGGAGCGGTAAACTTAATTAAATACTCCTTATTATTTAAGTATTTATAGTACTTCTTATATCTATCTTCTATATCTTTAATAGGTTCCCCTTAGTAGTTAGTATAAACTAATAGTAGGTAAGGTAAGGGGTATACTACGTTCTTAATACCTCTTATTAAGATTTTAATTATCGTGCTAAGGCTAAAGCTTATAGCCTATCGTTTATCGATAGCTCTATAGAGAAAGTTATATACGTCGACGATATACTCTTCTTAGCGGGCCTTATTCCTAGCGAATCCGTTTATCTTTTTAACGCCCTTATATATTATCCGAGCGTCTTTAAAGGTAATATCCCGCTAGTTAATAGGGCCTATTAATATTAAGTATTAACGATCTCTATAGATATACTAAGGAGGTTACTTCTACCTATAAACGTCTTATTAGTCTTAGTCTATAAATTTTTCCTTATCTTTAGCATAGAAGCGCCCTTCGCCGCCTTCTACTTTAACTTTACTATAGTAAGTAGGTAAAATAGAGCTCTTACTCCTAAATAGTAGTGCGCTAAAGAAGATAGCGGTATTCTTAGGGAGGTCTATAGCTAGGCCTAGGATACTATTTAGGTTCGCCGCTATATCTTAGGAAAGGGTAGAGTAAGCGAAAGAGAGGGAGAAAATAAGATTAAATAGTTAGGGTTAGTAGTTCTAAGTTATAACGCTAAGAGGCTAAGTATTATATATATATATAAGAGTTATATTAGTAAAGGGGATTATTATAAGTAGGGAAGTATATAGAGTATATATATATATATATATAAAAGGAAGAAAAAGGAAGAAAGAAGGAGGGTATAGTAAGAGGAATAAATAGTTATTAAAGCGCGTAGTTATTAGTTACTTTAGCTAGCCTCTATAGCGGTAAGGTCTTAGGCGTATTTAAGGGTTACGCTTAAATAGCTTCTTCTACCGGTTATCGATTAGTAAGCTATTTAATCTCTACCCTTTTCTTTTCCTTTTTACTCTTTCCGTTCCTCTTTTTCCTCTTCTCTCTTCTATCTTCTTTATTTCTTTAGACCGCTACCTCTTATCTTCTCTTTTTATAACTACCTCTTCTTCCTTATTATATCTTATAAGACCGCTAAACTTAAAACTAAAGAGCTATTAAATATCGTTAACCTCTCTTTAACTACTCTTTTATAACCTTCTTTTATTACTACTACTCTTCTTACTTAGAATTATCGTACTAAGGTCTTTCCTTTTTATATAAAGTACTTTTAAGTAATAACTATCTAACTTATTTAATCTCGCTTAGCTCGTTCTAACTATCTTCTTCTATAGATCTATAGTTACTTTAAGACCTAGGTCTATAATAAGAATAATATCGGTTACTAAAGGTTTCTAATTTATATAGAAATTACCTTTTAGTTATAGGTTCTATTAAAAGCTCCCGATATTATTAGGATTAAAGCGCGCGGTCGCTCTCCTCTCTCTTACTTTCTTAAAAGCACGCTAGGTTAATATAATTAAATCGTCTTCTATACCCTTTATTATAGACGTTAGCTAGTAACCTATATCCTTATAGAAATCGCTTATCCGCGTAAATACTTCTTTTCTTAGCTTAGTTTAAGGCAGTAAGAATACTCTTAAGTAGTCTTAATTACTTTATATAGAACTTATAATCCTTACTTTTATTAAGGGTATATTTAAACTTATTAAATAACTATAACTTCTGCTTATAAGTATATTATATTTCCTTTTTATAAGTATATCTCTCTTTTAAGTACTACCAGCGGTTCTTACGCTAACTATATCTAGGATTCGACTAAAGCGCTTATTTATAAATAGCGGTACTTCCCTAAATACTATAAGGCTACTTATAACCTTAATAGATTTACTAACTATATATATAGTTATAATTTCTATACTAACCTTAAGACTAATAAATTTTATAATAAGTATATTAGTAATAAGACCGCCCCTTATCTTCTTTATAATATCCTTAATTACTTTAGTCCTACTAAGGATTTAAAGGAAGGGGAGGAAATTAACCTTATACTTATTTTACCTAGAAAGAGATTATATAGGTTTAACGAGCTCTCTCTTAAGTAATAATTAAATAGTCTTTAAGTTTACTTTATAGTAGTCTATAGTAGGTTTACTAGGAGTAGGTAGCCTTATTTAGTTACTATCTTTAGCGGTAAAAGTTTTTCTCTTAAGGTTCTATACGTTTAATCTAGTAAGTCGAAAATATATTAAAATTTATCTTATAAGCGCGTTTATTTTCGCTATAGCGGGTCTCCCCCTTTATAATAAAGAATAAACGTCCCTATCTATAAAGTAAAAACTCTTATTTTTAAGGGAGGTAAGTAGTAAGAATATTCGTTTTCTTACTTTATTATTTAATTATATCTCTATTTATCTTCTTTAGGGTAGTAAAAGGTAGGTTATTATTAAGGAAGGGTAGGAAATATTATCTTTATCTACTTAAGGAGCCTTAGGTAGAAAATATAAAACGATAAGGTAGTAAGTAAGGCGCTTATAAATATCTTAGCTACTATAGTCGTCCTTCGATTAAATAGTTAGATAGTGCCTTAGTTACTAGTTAGGTTCTAGCGTGCTTCTTACGATAGTTATAGATTTTTATCTTTACTGCCTTTTCCTCCCTAGCTCTTTTTTTACCTCCTCCTTTTCTTATTAAATTAGCGTCTTTAAGGCTCCTATATAAAGATCCTTTTTTACTTTACTAAGTTACGGTAGCTAAACCTTAATTATATACCTTAGGCCTTTCTTAGGTATCTATAGTCGCTTTTCTTCCTCTTCCTAGCTTTAATCTTTCTAAGGTTTATTAAGGAGTCGTTATAACTATAGTACTATTTAATCTAAGGCTTCTCTACTTAGTAGGAGTAGTAAATTATCTACTTCGTCTATTATTTCTTCCTTCCTCCTCTTATTAAGAGTAATCTTATCCTAGAGTAACTAGTCGTCCTTAGTAAAGCATTACTAACCTTCCTTATCCTTTTTAAACTTCTTTAAATACTCTCCTAGGATTATCTTATTAAGTATAATTCTATTTAAAGTCTTAATCCTATACGCCCTAGACTACTCTAAGCGCGATACTACTTAAAAGGGACCGTTCTACCTTATCTAATACTTAGCTTACTTCCCTAGATTATTTAATCGTCTTATATTAAATAGTAAGATAAGATCTCTAAGTTATAGGCTTTCTTTCCTTATCGTATACTTATTAGCTTTATCCGTCCTCTCTATTAATTAATTCTAATATCTTATTACTCTTTTCTTAGCTTCTTCTATATTTTTTTCTTTTCTTTCTAAAACTTATACTTATACTTTAAATAATTCTTCTTTTATCTTTACTTTATCCTAGTCGATTAGTCGCTAAGTTAGGTATTCTACCTTAAAAGGTAGTACTAGTTCCTATTTATATAGTAGGTAGAAAGCTAATATTCTATAAGACTCTCTAACTACTATTTAGTTTATAAGGATTACTTAGTTAAGGTATTTAATCTACTTACCTTTTTTCTCTGCTATTTTTATAAGTACTATTATTAACCTCTAGTACCCTTATTTTACTACCGCGTTTGCTTTTAGATTATATACCGAAGTTTAAATAACTTTAACGCTTATATCCTCTAGGATATACTTAAAGTCTTTCTTTATTTCGGGCCCTCTATTAATTATAGCGTATAGTATTACGCCGTACTTATAAATAATAAAGAGTATAAATTTAGTTATAGCTCCCGCGGTAATTTCTTTAACTAGGGTTACTTCTACCTATTTAGTAAGGTCGTCTTATACTTTTAAAATACTTCGAACACCCGTTAAGTTGCCAATGCAAGGGGCTTAACGGCTGAATATCCAGCCCGAAGGGTGAATATCGTATACCTGCACTCGACTTTCTTAAGGGGTACCCACTAGAACCCCCCTTCCGCCTTCAGCGGCTAACCAGCCGTTCGAACTACTTCCTGGCAGGCCCAGTCTAACTATAACCCTATATCGTACCCCCCCCCCTTCCCTGTAGCTTGTAGGAAGACGACGTTTAGTCACGGTAGAGTGGTGGATACAGTGGATCGCTCAGCTGTTGACCCTGACGCCGTTGTTGGTCAGCGAGGCGCATCTTCATCCCTGTCTCATAGTTAGCCGTGAATGCAGTACGTAGGAAACGCAGGCGTATAACCTTCCGTCGGCGTGTGGTTATAGAGGCTCTGACGATCGAACGGCGCCTCAAGGAGTAAGCCTTGGAGCGAGGTAACCCGTGAGACGGCAACATAGCTAATACCGGCCTGGAAGTCGCGTGTAGCGAGATCAGTAACTATTTTATCCTTTGTTAGGCTCTGGCATTTGTGAACAGTAATAGCAAACGCCACGATTAGGAAACTGCGTGCGAGCGCAGGTCTCGTTGCCCACAAGGAAGTCCCGCCTGACTGGCAGGATGGGGTGAGATTTTCCTGCCCTCGTTAGTTGTTAGATACGGCGGTCCGTCGTAGCTATCAAAGTCCACCATAATAACGGCTGGGGGGTCTTCCAATGGATCGGCGCCTGCGCTCCAGGCGATATCGTATACAGTACCCTGAGCACCGTTAACTAGGCCAGCTGATTGCCACAGATTAGTCGTGAGCATCACCCTGGTGCCCTTAGCAACAGGAACTTGTTAGATAGATTGCCAGCATTGTTGCTTGGTGCCTGCCCAGCGCCGTTGCCGTGATTCTTTGCCTCCACTTGTATTGCCGGGGCGTTGAGATGCACCATATGCTCGTGGTTGTATTGGTTGACCCGTGCCTTTGTAGAATACACTCGCAAAGCGGTCCTGAAGCCGTCAAGCTCGCCCGCGGTAGCCTGGCCTGTACCCGATTGCTAAGGAGGTTCCAGGATGGTATAGATAACTTTACATCACGCAGTTCCTGCAACGCCTGACGGAACTGGGCCTGATCATCACCAGCCTGGCGCTGTGCCGTGGTCAGGAAGACGGTGCGGTCAAATAGGCGGTAGGCCACCTGCCCTCTCCTTTCCAACGAAGACAGGCCGGTGCTAGTCGAATACAGGGCTTTTGTCGGACTGGTGGTAACTGGAAGAAATCGCCCACAAGCACAACGCTCACACCACCAAAGAACTCGAGGTTACGCTGTGGAAAGGCTTGTCGCAAACGGGAATCGATCCGCGCGAGCTGCTCAAGCCTAGCATGCTCTTTTCATCGATAACGAGGTATTTGATGTGCCGTAGGCGGGACTGAAGGGCGGCTGCGTCGGCCGGGGGAAGGTCGGTGAAAGTACCGCCTACTGGGAGGCGCAGCAACGAATGAATGGTGCTGCCCTGTATCTGGTTACTCGCAACGCCTGTTGGCGCCACGCGGCATATAGGGCTAGGATTCGGTAGGGCGGCTGCCTGAAGATGGGAAGAAAGCACCTTGATAAGGAACGACTTGCCTGTGCCACCACCACCATCAACGTGGAGAAGGATTTGAGCAGGATTTTGCGCCTGGAAGTGGCCCATGAATGTGTCGTACACGAGCCGTTGTTGCGTATTCAGCGTATTACGCCAGTGAGGGCCAAGGACCTCCACATCGTTGGCCATGGGGTGGCTAGCGATAAGGTCTTTCCAGTAGCCGTCTCGGAGTTCCGGATAAGTACCCACATGCTGTGTCCAGTCGTAATTGATGTCGATATCGCGGCGGCCAAGTAGGTCAAGATCTTCCTGGGTAAGGGAGTTGTCAGGTAAAAGGGCGGCGAGGCGAATCCAGTCTTCGTCATCAAATTCTTCCTCCACAGGCAGAGCCTCGTATTGATCATCTTGAGGCTGTAATCGAGCCTCTTTGGCCGACCGTAATGGTCATCACCATGACTGTGATGCTGCCAACAATAGGAGAAGGCCTCAGCGTGAGAACCAAAAGCTGGCCGTCAACTGTGAGGAGATCATCAACCCGCCGATGTGGGTGGTTTAATGTTAGCTTTACACGACAGTAATCTGACCACTGTTGACCTTCTGGATCAGCCTGATAGCGAGGAAAGTAAACCAGCACTCGAGGCCTGCCGTTAATGTTGCCTGGCTGCCATTGCTTCCACTTGGAAGGGTCCCTAGGGCGGAAATTCCAGCATTTCAGGAAGGAGACGTAGCTTAGGTCCGCTAGGGCTTCCGGGCGTTGAGTGTACTTTTCGTAAACGTTGGGGGCCTCGTCCACCTCATCGCCGTCAATACGGAGGAGCGGGAATGCCTGTCAGGATTACGACAGTCGACGTACAGGCAAGTTCGTGACCCTTCCTGTAACGGCAGGCCGAGGAGCAAGTGGCTGACCTCCTGCTTCGAGTAATCCCGCTCCGCAACCAGCTGATTGAGGAGCTTTGACGTGAAGGAAATCAAGGGGTTGTGGTCCTTGACCCGGGGCATCAGGGCCTTCCCAATCTGGGCAAAAGACTCGCTCTTCTTTTCCGACTTGGAGCAGTATTTGGCCGCGTAATCGATTACCTGCTGTAGACTCGTGCAAGGCGAAACATCTGTATTGGCTAGCCACGCAACGGTAAGCAAGCGGTTGTAGTGGTTAATCTGGCCATCGTTCCGCTCGCCCCTAAAGCTCCAGTGTTTAGAGTGAGGAACCTTGTCAAGGAGGCTAGTAGGCGCTGGCCGTGAGGAAATCCAAAGCGGCACTCCACCTGCTTGGTATGCTTATTGAGCTGCATGCAGTAGTTGTTGCAGCGGTGGCGTTGCACGCGGTTGACTACCATCGATAGGAACTGAACGGTAAGGGATGTTCCAGTAGATTACCGATCAGGGGTTCCCTTCCCAGGAGCCTGTATTCGCTGTGGCTCTGGGTTCACTGCAGATACGTGGTATCCCCAGATGCGAGCGAATTGCCCGGACTGATCGTTGTCAGGATCTAAGTCTGGGTGGCCACTTAGCCAATATAGGCCGTGGTGGTGACTGGAACCCTGCCCTGCCACTCGTAGCGGCCCCAAGAGTCCGTTAGGTTGAACTTCTGCTTCAAGACAATAGCCTAAACAGCGCATAACGCTTATGAAAGTGGTACGCAGCGATGTGGGCGTTGTCTCGCAGTAGTTGCCGGGATAGAGCCATCCGCGCCGCCTCAGGAGCTGTTTGCCACTCGTCAAATCGAGGCATATGGCGGTATAGGGATTCCCAGTGGTAATCGGCTGCACTTGCAGTAGCGAAAGGCCGGGCTTGCCTAGATTATAGGCATATGCTTCCAACTCCTTCCTTTGTTTATACCAATACGGCCGGGTGCCCTAATTACTGCGGCTTGGCGCGTGATCGACTGGATCAGGACCTGAGCCTCCGGCTCGTCAGGCTCAGCCATTGCTTCCTCTAGGTCGGCGCGTGTAAGGGGCTGACGGCGGCTGTCGCGTTGCTTGACGAGGTAGTCACTTCGCTTTCGGACCTGCGCACGTAACAGCGTGTTGAGGGCGACGAAAGGCCACGTCTTATGGCGGGCGAAACGTCCGTCATGCCATCTCATCGCATGGGCAAGGTAGTCCTGGAACGTGATGCTCCGTAAACGAGGCTCCACGAAGTCGGCCTTGCCGTCAGGGTAGAGGGTAGGGAATGCAAGCGTTAGCAGCGGCTGGGAACGGTTGAATTCGTCGATGGGGGTCCTGCGAACTGAAGGCAGCGGCATCTGGTGGTGAGCCTGCGCGTTACACGGTATATGCTCCACATCAGTCATACGCTCAGGTTAGGGTACCATCAAGAAATCGGGACTGCAGAGCGTTCAATTCGGTATCGGTAACCTGCAAATTCGGGATCGCTGATGCATCGGCATCGCTAGGATCCTCTTCCACAGCCTCCTCGACGGGGCCTTTGGGGACCTCGCCGTCAGGTATGTCAGCCACTTGGCTGGCAATGGAATCAACTATGTTGCCATCAAGAGGAAGCCGGTGCAAGCGATTCTGACTCACGACGATATCGCGATAGCCCCGGTGGTGGCGCTGTAGGTAGTGCAGCCACGCCAACAGGCATGAGCGGCGTACCCGCAAATCGCGAGCAAACTGTTGCCGGAAGCGAGGGCTGCCCTCCATATTAGGAGGCCGCAGGAGGACGACATCTAGCTCTTCAGGTAGGACCGGGAGCTCTTCAAATAGCCTGCCAACATTGCGAAGGAAGTGGACAACATGACCGCGATATTTATATTGAGCGCCACGTACCTGCAGGACCTTCACATGTACGTGAACTCTAGCAATGAGCATCTCCTCGACCATCGTTAGATCGGGTAGATCGCTCGGGACTTCCCAAAGTCAAGGTTGTTCGCAGCGCTAAAGAAGTAGGGCTCGTTGGGGCCTTTCTTCCTGTCTCGACTAATGCAGCGGCTGCAGATTTTCAAGCTATTTCGCTTCATATCGAACCAACGCTCCTGGCAGCGAATGCAACTATGCATCTTGTCGTCATTCAGGGCAGTATAGAACTCGCGCACAAGGGCTCGATCCCCTCACAAAGGGCAGGCAAGTCAAGGTCCCCTGTAAAGGCGGATCAACTATCTGATCGAACTGTCGCTCTTCAGGCTGTGGCCGTGGCCGGGGTTAATGTTGACTCGACGTGTATAGCGGCCGCGGCGACGACTCTGTGGCAGTAATGAAGGAGGGTACGAGGCGATTCCTTCGGTATAGGCGTGCCTTGCACAACAGAAGCCGATGGGAGAGTGCCTTGAGGAATTGGCGTTTCTGGAATCGGCGTGCCCAGAACTACTGTTGGCAGGCCAAGGGTAGGAGGGGTGGGGGAAGGTCCCTCTACCGCGCTTGAGGTAGATGGCCCCGGCAGAGGTCTAGGCAGTCCCTGGAGTGCGGGCGCCAGGGCACGGCATAACGTAGATGTGGCAGGGGGTCGTAAGACTTGCACACACGCAGGCGTTGGCGCAGCCCGCCTTGGAGGCGTCAGGTTAGCTAGAGAATCGGTCCGTTTCGTGGCTCTGCGTGGCGATAGCCTCAAGGCGAAATTCCGCATTGCGGCAACGGCGGCTCGAGATTCGGTTACCCGTTCCTTTCGGCGTGCCCTACAGCTAGCACAGTCTCTTGTAAACTTCGTAGGGTCCTTGACGCTTCGAAATTCGACTTCGGGCAGGTCTTGCTTGCAGGTATGGCAATTCCGAACTGCCTGGGGTATGTCGTCCTCCATCTGGCCGTATATGTATCCACCTCTTACCCTTCAGACTGCTAGAAGAGACAGAATAACCGGAGAATCTTGGGAGGTGGGCCGGCTGCCGAGGTAATAGGTGAACCTATAAACCGTTAGTAACATGATTAGTTTGATAGATTGGGCAGAAAGAGAAGCAGCCGCTATGTAGGTTAGTGTAAAGAGTGCCTAGCGACCCAGTAAATTGATGGCATGGATGGAAGAAAGGAAGAACTGGAAGCTCTTGGAGAGCCTGCCAAGCTGGCCAGTTACCTAGTCAACGCTCAGGGTAATTTTGCGGGCCTTCATTTGGTGACGTTATCGGCCGACCAATCCGCGCACGAGTTGAGCACAAGCCAGGCCAATTAGCCAATCAGAGGAGGTTTTATGCTCGAATCTTTCTGACTGAGTAGAACGCCCTTCGGGCTGAATAAGGTATAAATACCTATAATTAAATAGTATATACTAGCTATTAAAGTAAATCTTACTTATAGGGTAGCTAGGCGCGGTCGTAGTTATAACTTCCTAGGGTCTTTTAGTCGTAAAGTATTAGTATTCTTTATAAGAAGAGATTACGCTATAAATATCGTTTTAAAAGCTAGCTTACTAATACCTATCCTTTACGAATATATATATAACTTATTATCCTTTATATCTTATTTATATATAGTACTTTACGATAATCCTTTTCCGTTTTTTTAGGTCGTCTATAACTAGTATAGGTCCCCTTTCTTCCTTCCTATAAAGTCGCTAAAGCTTTTAATCTTTAACGTAGAAATTTAGACTCTTTAAACGTAACTTCCTATAGTTTTATTTAGAAAGGCCCTTTAGCCGTTTTAATATTTAAAGGAAGTCTATAATTATCCTCGATTCCTTTAAGTAGTCCCCTTATAGCTTAGTCCCTTATACTACGTTTAAGTAGAAGTCTATAAATTCTTTAATATCGCCTTCTATTTCCTTATTTAATATATTAAAAGGTCCTTTAGGCTTTCTTAAGAGTCTATTAGCTACGCTATTCTTCTTACCTTCGACGTATTATATAGTAAAGTTAAAGAGGAAAATATAGCTTATTTAGCGAGTTACTATAGCTCTAAGGACGTCTTTAAGGGCACCTTTTAGTTAATTAACTAAGACCTATATATTAGTTTCTAAGATAAAATATACGCTATATAAGTATATTCTTAGTCTCTTAAGCGCACTTAATATAGCCCTATACTCCTTCTTTATTATATTATATTTAGTTTCTATTAGTAACTACGTTCTACTTTCGAACCTTATAAGGCGCTTCTTTCTATCGACGATTTATATTAAGACTACCCCTTAGCCGAGCAAACTAGCATTATATATTAGAATAATATCTCCTCTTCCTAGGCTAACGTCGAGGGATACTAGAAAGACTAGATTAGTAATAGCTTCCTTAAGGGCAGCTATTACTTTTATTTATTTATCTCCTAATTCTTAATAGACTTCTTTCTTTAATAGGTCTATAAGGGGTTTTACTAAGATAGTAAACTATTTAATTTAGATTCGATAGTATCCTATAATATTAAAGAAAGCTTTAATATACGTTATATTAAGGTATCTTATCTATTCCTTAATTTTAATAACTTTAGCTTCTATAGGGCACCTTCTATTTACTCTATAGATATAACTAATAACTTCGGTTACTTACTAGTAGAATTTCGATTTAGCCCCTATAATCGTATAACTAGAGAGTTCGACGTTAACTAAGACTTTATCGAGGTTAATAAGGTATTTAAAGATAAATCTCCTTACTCCTAGCGCTACCTCTTTATTATTATACGTTATATCGGGCCCCTTAATACCTATATTATCGAGGAAATTCCTAGAGATATTCGGTATAAGGTCTTATAGGATTCTTTATATTATCCTTATAAATTAGCCGACTAAGTTTATAGCCCCTTAAGGGAGTATATATATATATAAAAGGCTAATAAGTATCGCGAATATCGTTAAGTTACGGCTTTTAATATTAAGAGGGATCTAATTATAGCCTAAAAAAAGGTCTAAGAGGGAAAGGATCTTATATATCGAGAAGTAGTCGCTAAACTCGTTTATATTCGGCGGTAGGTTTATATCTCTTATTATAATAGTATTTATATACGTAGCGGAATTAATTAGGCGTAGTCCTTTATCTTTCTTTACTACTAGGAAAAAAGGGTTCCTATAAGGCCTATGCCCTTCTTTAAGGACTCTTATTTCTAGTTTAATTTTAAGGATATTAATAACTTTCTACTCTATCGCTTTTAAGATCGGGATTAAGGCTGCTTACTATACCTTATATTCTATTATCTTAATAACCTATAGTAGGGCTATAGCTAGGTCGACTCTACCTCTTTCTATAAAGTCCTAGGATAACGCTACTTCCCTATTAAATAGAATATTATTAAAGATCCGGATTTCTACCTTTATAAGAAAGCCCTTAAATTATTTATAGATTACTTTAAGTCTTTCTTATATTAGCCGCTTTCCTTTCTATATACTTAAGAATTTTCCTATTAAGTGTTCTAGGTAGGGTCTAAGCTATATCTTATCTTTAACGGTATTTTATTTAGTCTTCTTTTAATTAAGGTCCCCTTCTAGCGTCGAGCCGTTTAATAGAGTATTATTAATAAGGTTAATCTTATCTACTTTTCTTTTAAAGAGAGTATTAACTCTTAGATTATATAATCTAATAGGTCGTTTCCTCCCTATCTTAACTTTAACCTTTTAGATCTTTTAGAACTTCTTTTTAGCTTTAATAATGTTTTTCTTAAATTCTCTTATAGCCTTTATAACTATAACTTTAATAATCTCTTTTACTATCTTAGATCTAATAGCTAGAATCGCCTTATCTCCTTTATCTATAATTAATTACTATTATACTAGTACTATTAAGGGCTCGTTTATACTAATATTAGCTAGATTAAGGACTTAGTTAGTACCCCCTTTATAACTAAGGATCTTGCCTCTTAGTAAGAGAATCTCGGCTATTAAGGTATTTATAAGGGTTTCTCTTCGTAATTATTAGGTAGCTCCTAGGTTATCTTCTTCGACTTCTATTACTAAAGCCTAAAATAAATTTCTTAGGAGCTAGGTAGCTATTTCTTATATAGTCTCCTTAAGCTTTAGTCTTTTATATACGTCTTTATTAACTATTAAGGTCGTAGCCTAAAAGGAATTTACTATATCGACCTTGTCTAGAAGCTCTTATTTAATAGCTCCTACCGCTAGCGTAACTACCTAGATAGTACCGATCTAATATTTAACCTATATATCCCTATTTCTTAGGGAATAATTAAATAATATACGCGCGGCTCTAATAAATAGTATACCTAAGATAAAAGGGACTAAGACTCTATTTAGTATAATATAAAGACGGATTAGTATCTAAGCCGTGCCTAGATAGAGATTAGTCTCTACCTTCCTAACTATATCTATAAGGGACCTAGTATACGCTATTATTAATACTCTTATTAATAGGATTTTAAGCCTATATATATTTACGTATCTTTTAATAATAATGTTTCCTTTAGACTTAGTATCGATTAAGGCGCTTAGAACTTTAGCTTTCTAGCTACTAAGTTATACTTAAATATAGGGTAGGTCTTATATATACTTAAGCGAGTAGAAAGGTATAAGGACCGTATTTATATATATTATAGGAATCGTTATAAGGTCTTTTAAAGTTATCTCTTAGTATCTTATCGAGAGTACTACTTTTTATATAATAAATTTATCTTTCTTTAGTCTTATTACCTCTAGAGTTTATTAATTAAATAGTCTTTAAGCTAGTTACGTTACGCTAATCGTATTAATTATAAACCTAACTTCCTTTAATGCTTATTAGACTTTAAGGTACTTATAATCCGATTCTTTATAAGTAGGGTAAGTAAGCTTAATTAGTTTAACC